ACCCTTATATCACCCCAATATAACCCCTCTATAACCGGGGCAGCCCAGGAAGTACACACCTACAGGCAGCTCCGACAAGACCGAGGCTAGACTCGACAGAAGTGGTTCTGGGATGACCCCGGGGACTATATTCAGGTTTAGGGTTTAGGGTTTAGGGTTTAGGGTTTAAGGTTTATGGGACTATATTGCCCTAGCTTCCATTTCATTTTCCATTTTCTTTTCCATTTGATTCTCCGGTATAAGGGGATAATAGGGGATGATTCTATCTTCTTCCAAATCATCGGGGGGGCCGCACCGCCGCCCTGTGGGCGCGGGCTGAGAACGATGCGCAGATCAACCATTAGAGTATGAAGCCAGCTTTCTCAAAGTATCGGCCGCTTGCCAGGTTCAAGTCGCTTCTAGCATTCTTGTTTCAGACTTCGACGAACTCTTTCCTGCTCAGCACAGCCCGAAACCAAACGCAACAAGCTCAGACCCTGCCCTGCCAGTTATGTTTTCAGGGTGGTGCCGTCAGCTTTGCTGCTGCCGCGCACGGAGCTGAACTTTCAGGTGGCTTTCTACTGCTCAGAGCCAGGGTCAGAGCTTAGCGCCAGACTCCAGACATTGCAGAGAATGACAGCGAGGATAGGTGGAGGTGGGAGGGACATACTTTTGCCATTCTGTCTTCTTCGCAGTTTCACTGCGAAGTCTGAAGATCAGACGCCTGGAGTTATGCAGGGCATCTAGGGCAGCCTTGGGAGAACATGCAATAGGCAGGGTGGGTAGACAGGACAGGATGAGGAAAGAGCTTGATTTTCAACGATTCGCTCTCTTACTCTTCTCTTACTCTCTCTTCTCTCCAAAATCTAATCTAAGTCCTAAGCCATACCCACCCTGACATACAACTTAGCAAATGCCACGACCACTTTATCACTGTAGGGATCTTTGCATTCCATCCTCTTGACCACGACCATGGCCCATAAAAAGCTCTATCCTAGGCCACCCTAAGCACAGAACCCCCCCCTAAGCCCCAAACTCTCCTTAAGATTGAAACTTACTGGGGTTAACAAGGAATAAGGGAGTATAATCCCCGTATAAACATAAGCCCGATATGCTATAACCCCTTATTCCCTACTCAACCCCCAGAAAGGGCCTAAACCCCCCTAAACCCTAAACCCTAAACCCTAAACCCTAAACCCTAAACCCCTAAACCCTAAACCCTAAACCCCTAAACCTAAAACCCTTAAACCCTTAAACTCAAGGTCAGACGGCAGCTCTCAATCTGGCTCTGACTCGCAGGCCTTCTGGGACTTTGGGTCCAAAGGTTTGCGATCTTTATGCGGGTTGTAGGGTTATATAGGGATAGTATAGGGCTCTATAGAGGTTATATGAGATAACGAAAAAAACATGGAAACTACTATTTAGGGTTTAGGGTTTCGGGGCTTTTCCAAGGCTTTTCGCGGAACCTCTGAGTTTACAGAGGGACAGCAGGATTCATGCAGGCACCGTCGAGCATGTGCAAGTTCAAGCAATGTTGGTTCTCAAGTCTTCTACAGAAAGATGAACTAAGGGAGGGCAGGTCCTGTATCAAGCCCTTATTCTTGCTTGCTTCTCCAGTAGCCCTCCCTCACGGTCTGTCCTACAGTACTTGATTTTGGTCCCGAACCCTACACTCGGCCTGCAGCCAGGGAGCCGGACAGGGCAACTACCAGCACTACATTCCGGACTACCAGAAGTATATTCCAGGCACGCCTGACCCGAAGCTAGACTGATGACATTGCCCGCGCTTGCAGCACCTTTCAAGAACGACCTTTACCACCACCTGCTTGGCTTCGCTCGTGGCCTTCTTGTTCCGAGAGGGCTTAGCTAGAGTCTTACCCGATGTAAATCCTATCTTTGTGGGGGGTGGGCTTGCATTGCTGTAAGCTTTTTCGGGTGAGAACATCCTGTGTTCCAGACGGTGGTGCACCTGCAGCAGCGGCTGCGCCGCCATAGAAAGATGCCAAGACACCAAGTTTTGCCACGGTCTCTCAGGCGCATGCAGATTGCCGCAATCTGCCTGGAAGCAGAATGTCAATACATGATCTGGAAATACCCCTGATATACGGACCATCGTCCCTTGTAAGGGTTCCCCAAATCCTAGTGTCAAACCTTATGATACAACCTAAGGATCCAACATGATCAAACCCCAAATTTCTGCTCAGGACATATAGTGAGCTGACACCAAAGTGCGCTCCAGCGTCGCAGGGACATTTCACTACGGTCTCTCTGCAAAAGGGGTGCCTAATATGACATGCGAGATATGGATTCTACTCCAGAACAGGGACCCCGATTTTGACATGCAAGATCATACACCATATACCTAGTAGCACTGCTGTTGAGTGCTCGTATCAATGGTACCGCGGCCGCAAACCTTCGAAGCCCGGAACCCTTACAGGCCCTGAACTCCTAAACCCAAGCCCCAAGCTCTTAACCATGACAATATCCTCCTGCCTCTCATGTGGGGGTTTCCCAAAATTAGGGGTACCTTTTTAGGGGTCCCAATATTAAGGATTATAGTCTTTCGGGGTCTATGTGGGGGTCCCCTTATTTTGGGAAAGTACCATGTTGTTCCACATAAAATGAGTGTTTTGGACTACAATGGTACCGACCGAGTCGCAGTCGGGCAAACCTCACACATCTAGGGACTTTAGGAGGGACCCCCAATAGGGGACCCTTAATCCCATTACCATANNCCCCTATATCCCTGGGTAGTCCCCATACTAACCCCCATAAGCTACAAGGGTCCCTATTAGGGGTCCCTCCTAAAGTCCTTAGAACACAGGTGGCTCCGGTGGCTCCAGTGGTTCTGGCGACTTTCAGCCAAAGCCTCTGCTGTCATTGTCCCTTCAAAGGGTCACACGGTTTAGGGTTTAGGGTTTAGGGGTATCTGGGGTTCCAGAGTTTAGGAGGATGCATAGTTTATGGATTTCTCAAGACAAGGTGCCTGGTCTCCAAGTGAGCAATTAGTCAAAACTGATCTACCCGGGATTTAGAGAAGGCTTAGGGGCCCAAGGGATATTTAGAAGACCCACCATCCGCACCCAAGACGTAAACATCACCATGATCCCACGGGTAACCCAACTTTGAGAAACATCTCATGAGCTACTGCCATTGGACAATGAATTCTAGACGCCGCGCGCCGGGCGCTTCGGCTGGGTTGCAAGGCCTCGAACGCAGACTCAGAGGGACACCTTTGGGCTGTTTCTTCGGCGGGGGTTTAAATTACAACTACTATTACGATGATTATTATTATTGGTATTGTTATGATTAGTGTTATTTTTTAAAGTCAATTGTTATGTTTCAGTGAGGGCCACAGCGAACGTGCACCGACGCCAGACCCTTCATCACGGGGCGTGCTAGGCTGTTTATGGGCACTTGACCATCGCCCGTACGAAGTATGCAAGATCGTAAATCTGTTCATAGGCGACATGCTGCCGTACCTGGAACATCCAAAGCTCCGGCGTTCTAAGGAGTAGACTTGAGAAAGGTTGAGCATTTGGAGTTTACCGACAGCCTCAGAAGGAGAGGCTACTAAGTGTGCCAGGAAAGGCCTTGCTAGGGGTCTTGCAAAGCCTGCATAAACCCTAAACGTCCTAAACTAACCTCGCCCCCATCGAGGCAGTACATGGACTTCTCCAAGTACATGGGTGGAGGCTGTTCAAAGCAGTCAGTTGGACCCAGAGGAACGTTGTGTGGTGTAGCCATCTGTACAGCCCTAAACCCTAAACCCTAACCGTAACCCAAAACCCTAACCTAAGCAGTATAACCCCAATATATACCCTATTAGAATATAGTAGTTTCCATTTTCTTTTCCATTATCCCCATATAACCCCATATTCCATAAGGGGGACTATATACCCTGGATGCGTGGTTCGAATTTTTTTAGTTTGCTCTGTGAGGCCAAGGAGGTGGAGCTGCTGACTTTGCCAAGTGTGCACCTCGGAGAGTTTGCCTCCGAGAGACAAGAAAGGCTACGCGGCCGAGAAATTCGAAAGGAGTTGAAGTCCGTTTGGGAATTTACGTGGATCTTTGAGCAGCTATGGTGATGTCGGCCGAACATCTTTCACATGCTTGTGGTGCCTAAGCACGAGGGTAGTTGAGACACTCCGAACCCCCTAAACCCTAAACCTAAACCCTAAACCCTAAGGCCCTAGACCCTAAACCGTTTGGGGTTTTCTTGGATTACCCTGGTCCACCTCAAGGCCTTCAGGAGTGTATGGGGGCTAGAAGGAGTCTCTCATATATGAGCTATAATCTAAACCGGGTTATATGTGGGTTTCCTAAAATTAGGGTTCCATTTTTTGGGGGTCCCCATATTAAGGACTATAGTATTTTTGGGTCTATATTGGGGTCCCCTATTTAAGGAAACTACCATAGATATTTCATCATTGACCCGGAAGGAGGTCTATATTTCCCAGGAAAGGTTCTTTTACGTTTTTCCTGCAGA